TGATTATAAAGGTACTCTACAGGTGCCTCCAAAGGTACATGTTGGGTTGGCGTATTTCGAGATTAGGATTTGTCACTCCGATTGTCGGAGAGGTATCTTTGGGCCCTCTCGGTAATGCACATCACATAAGCCTTGCAAGCATTGCAACTAATGAGTTAGTTGCGAGATGATGTATTACAGAACGAGTAAAGAGACTTGCCGGTAACGAGATTAAACTAGGTATTGAGATACCGACGATCGAATCTCGGGCAAGTAACATACCGATGACAAAGGGAACAACGTATGTTGTTATGCGGTCTGACCGATAAAGATCTTCGTAGAATATGTGGGAGCCAATATGAGCATCCAGGTTCCGCTATTGGTTATTGACCGGAGACGTGTCTCGGTCATGTCTACATTGTTCTCGAACCCGTAGGGTCCGCACGCTTAAGGTTTTGATGACAGTTATATTATGAGTTTATGCATTTTGATGTACCAAAGTTTGTTCGGAGTCCCGGATGTGATCACGGACATGACGAGGAGTCTCGAAATGGTCGAGACATAAAGATTGATATATTGGAAGCCTATATTTGGATATCGGAAGTGTTCCAGGTGAAATCGGGATTTTACCGGAGTACCGGGAGGTTACCGGAACCCCCCCGGAGGTATATGGGCCTTAGTGGGATTTAGTGGAAGAGAGGAGAGGTGGTCAGGGCTGGGCCGCGCGCCCCTCCCCCTAGTCCGAATAGGACAAGGAGAGGGGGGCGGCGCCCCCCTTCCTTCTCTCTCTCTCCTTTCCCCCTTCCCGAATCCTATTCCAACTAGGAAAGGGGGGGGGGAATCCTACTCCCGGTGGGAGTAGGACTCCTCCTGGCGCGCCCTCCTCCTGGCCGGCCGCAACCCCCCTTGATCCTTTATATACAGAGGCAGGGGGCACCCCATAGACACAAGTTGATCCACGTGATCATATTCTTAGCCGTGTGCGGTGCCCCCTTCCATCATAATCCTCGATAATATTGTAGCAGTGCTTAGGCGAAGCCCTGCGACGGTAGTACATCAAGATCATCACCACGCCGTCGTGCTGATGGAACTCTTTCCCGACACTTTGCTGGATCGGAGTCCGGGGATCGTCATCGAGCTGAACGTGTGCTAAAACTCGGAGGTGCCGTAGTTTCGGTGCTTGATCGGTCGGGCCGTGAAGACGTACGACTACATCAACCGCGTTGTGCTAACGCTTCCGCTGTCGGTCTACAAGGGTACGTAGATCACACTCTCCCCTCTCGTTGCTATGCATCACCATGATCTTGCGTGTGCGTAGGAATTTTTTTGAAATTACTACGTTCCCCAACACTATACACAAAGGAGTCAAATGTCTTGATGTCTCTACTGGCAGAGTCTATATATCTAGGGATGTTGTCTTCGATGAATCTGTTTTTCCTTTCAAGTCTCTTCATCCAAATGCCGGTGCCCTTCTTCGAAAAGAAATTCTACTACTTCCGGAGTTTGATCAAGGGGGTGATAACAATTGTGCTAACCAATGTACTAACATTTCTTCTAGTTCTACTCCTGGTACTATGCCTGTGCAGGTGCATGAAGAAAACGGAGTTCAAAACGGTCAAGATGATCAAAATCCAGTACAAAATGATGCTATATTTGATGTGTATGAGGAAGAAGCAGCAGGCGTGGAGCACGAGGAAGATGCGGCGGCGCCTGCCACGCCTGTGCGCCGATCCACCTTGGATCATGGGCGGAGATCCGCGTGGGATCACGCGCCTGTCAGCCGACAGAGGAATCAGCCGTCCCCAGCCCGCTCCGCATCTGCCATGTCAGCGCGCATGCAAGGGACATGAGAGGACACGGGATCTCTCTCGTCCGGCGCGCACATGCAGGGGACAGGAGCGCCAGGCTCGGGATTCTCTGCTCCGGATTACTCTGTGGACTCGGCCGTCGCTAGTTCGGGTCAAGCCACACCGGGGTCTACTGGATCCAGTACATCAGCACAGTCTGCACACATGGATGGGTCGCTAGGATCTTCTGCCACCAGCCAGTCTATGCAATCTCCTGTGCAACAGCAAGAACAGCCTGCTAGTACTTCAAGGATCATGACCCGGCTACAAAAAGGTATTAGAAATCCTAAAATAAGAAGGGATGGCACTATACCATATGGAATGTTATGTGTTTCAGGTGAACCAGCAAGGTTGAGTGATGCACTTGGAGATCCTAAATGGAGAAAGGCTATGGATGAAGAGTATGATGCACTCATGAAAAATAAAACATGGCACTTGGTGCCAAGTCAGAGAGGTAAAAATATTATTGACTGCAAGTGGGTCTATAGAATTAAAAGAAAAACAGATAGCTCCATTGATAGATATAAAGCACGTCTAGTTGCAAAAGGATTTAAGCAACGATATGGTATTGATTATGAGGATACCTTTAGTCCAGTTGTGAAAGTTGCTACTATAAGACTTGTGCTAGCCATTGTTGTTTCCAGGGGATGGAGTCTTCGCCAGCTAGATGTTCAGAACGCGTTTCTGCATGGTGTTCTGGAAGAGGAGGTCTATATGAGGCAACCACCAGGATATGAAAATAAACAAACACCTCGTTATGTTTGCAAGCTTGACAAAGCTCTTTATGGTCTGAAACAGTCACCTTTAGCATGGTTCTCAAGGCTAAGCTCACAGTTGAAGCATCTTGGGTTTATTCCATCCAAGGCAGATACATCTCTCTTCATTTATAATAAGGCAAACACAATGATTTTTGTGCTCATATATGTGGATGATATTATAGTTGCAAGCTCTTCACAAGATGCCGCTAATGCTCTCTTGCGTGATTTGAGTTCAGAATTTGCTTTGAAGGATCTTGGTGATTTACATTTCTTCTTAGGCATTGAAGTTAAGAAGACACAGGATGTCATAGTGTTGAATCAAGAAAAATATGCCACTGAACTTCTAACTCGTATGGGAATGAAGGATTGCAAACCCTCACCTACACCATTGTCTTCTTCAGAACAACTTTCAGCATATCAAGGAGAACCTCTTAATGAAGAGGAGAGCACAAAATATAGAAGTGTTGTTGGAGCTCTACAATATTTAACTTTGACACGGCCAGACATATCGTTTGCTGTAAACAAGGTTTGTCAATATTTACATGCTCCTACCTCCACTCATTGGACGTCTGTCAAAAGGATTGTACGATATATTAAACATACTGTGAGTTTGGGACTTCAGTTGAGACGTTCTAGTTCCACACTTGTCAGTGCTTTCTCTGATGCTGATTGGGCAGGATGTGTTGATGACAGAAAGTCAACTGGAGGATTTGCAGTATTTTTTGGTTCAAACCTTATTTCTTGGAGTGCCAGAAAACAAGCCACTGTGTCAAGGTCAAGTACATAAGCTGAATACAAATCACTAGCAAATGCAACTGTTGAAATTATTTGGGTGGAATCTTTGCTTCATGAGTTAGGAATCAAGCAACTTCGTATATCTTGTCTATGGTGTGATAACTTGGGAGCAACCTACCTTTCTGCTAATCCAGTGTTTCATGGTAGAACCAAACACATTGAGATTGATTTTCATTTTGTGCGTGAAAGGGTTGCAGAAAAAAAGTTGGATATACGGTTCATTCCATCTAAGGATCAAGTAGCTGATGGATTCACCAAAGCTTTGCCGGCCAAGTCTTTTGAAGAGTTCAAGAGAAATCTCAATATAGGATAGTTTAGATTAAGGGAGGGTGTTAGACTTTGAGTAGTTTACTTCATGTAATCTTAACCTATCTCTATCTCTCTATCTCTCTCTCTCCCGTATCCCTGTCTATTTCCTATACCGAACCAGATTGGATTTCTTTCTGGTCTCTCTTGTACGCCACGGCAAGGCATTGTTTGCCCCATACAAATATACACAACTCGGCTCCCTCGAGGAGTAGGAACGCTTATACCAAATCTTACAGACTAGCCCTTCGCCGCCGTTTCCTTTTACTAGCGACTAACGAGAGAATCCAAAAATCATGCGCCCATCCCATGCTTCCGTTTCCTTTTATCAAGTCGAACAGAAAACAGAAGGAACATTCTATTCCTACGTGACTTTCTTACCAAATCTGTATGTGATATCTTTGTTTGGTTTGTAATAACTGCCCCACGATTTTAGGTAACAGAAGCAATCCAATTCAATTAGTACATAAGTTTACGTAAAAATCATTCTTAGGAATATATCACTACTAAAAAGAAAAAGAACGACAGAGACAGGCACGATCCTATAATCACGGCGCCATCCCACGTCTAACTTCACGTCAGATTTGATCCGTTAATCACAGCAAGGCCCGCACACAAAAAATCATGGGTTCATGCACGCACTACAATACTTGCATGCGACAGAAAAACTGCTAAGAAGGAAACATGCACAGTTTCATGGCTAACAATGGCGCCCGCCGGTCGGCGCCCGCCGCGTCCTGTCGCTTCCATGTGTACACCACCGCCGGTCTGGACCATCGAGCGCCCTACACCTCCTCTTGCGCTGTCTAGCAACCCCTCGTGCGCGTTGTGCCCACATCGACGGTGACCACAGCCGGTCCTCTCGGTCCAGCCCGGGCTGGAGCGCGGTCGGTCCGAGCCCTGAAATCAGGACCGCCCAGCTGGTCGGTCCGGTCCGGTCCGGTCCGCCGGTGGCCGGTCAAAACGGCGGCTCGGTCAAGGACCGGACCGGCCCGGACCGTGTCCACCCTGAGGCTCGTCCCTTATTATTTATACTAAAATTAAAGTTAGGAAGGTTTTTTGAAAAATAAAAAAACAAGCGCACGCCCGGCCGTGCGGAAACGTGGGCGCAGAGCGCGCGGCGGCGGGGAGATATACTTCGCCGTTGTGCACACCGTGGCGATGAACCGCATGGAAGCGCGCGACGGCTGCGCTAGCTCGATCTTGCGAGTCGCCACCAAAACTTCCAAGTAGGAGTAAATCAAATCAACTTTATTATTCAGCTTATAATAATTAATAAGTGATCAACTCGATGGATGTGCATGCTGGCTAGTAGCTAGTACACGGCGGCCCCGCGGACCCCGCTCCACTCGCGGGCCATCCCGGCCCTGTACCCGGCGTTGTACGCCGCGGCGTCCGACATCATGTCGCCGGCGCTCAGCCCCATGCGGCCCAAGTCAGCGCCGCCGTTATTCCTCGCGTTCGTCCACGGCGAGCCGGCTGCGTTGTACCCGGCTGCTGCTCTTTGAGGCGCCGGGGGCGTCGCCGTGTGCCCGGAGGCTTGGAGCGGCGGCGGCATCGACAGGTGCCCGTAACCGTAAGCCTTTGAAAGCGGCGGATGCAGGGCCATATGCCCGCTATAATCCCGCGGAGACGGTGGCGAGGACGACATGTGCGCACCGGAACCGGAAGAAGCCTGCGCGGAGTGCGGCGGCGGCGGCGGCATGAGCGTCGGGGCCGGCATGTAGGCGTACGGCTGGTGGTGATGGAACGACGGCCGCGCCGCCACCGGGTACGCGACGACGTGGTCTTCTTCGTGAGCGGCAGCGTGGTCGTGGTGCGGGTGCGGCGCATGAGGGTGAGGCTGCGGCAGGACGACGCCGCCGAGGCGGTAGGAGAGGTAGAGCACGCCGTAGGTGTCGGCGGGGCGGTGCACCCTGCGGACGTGGTAGACGGCGAACTGGGGCGGGCGGGGGCCGAGGTCGCGCGGGTCGCGGAAGGAGCCGCCGAGGCCGAGGACCTCGGTGAGCGGGACGACGACCTCGCCGACGTCGCGGTCGCCAAGGGAGCGCTCGGTGCGGAGGAGGACGTGGAGGCAGCCGCTGGCGCCCGCGGCGGCGGTGGGCGGGACGGTGAAGCGGAGCGTGGTGTTCCAGGTGGGGTGGCGGCCGCCGTAGGGGTCGGGCGGGGTGCACTGGCGCGTCATGGGGTCGCCGGAGATGGTGGCGACGGCGTACACCTCGAGGCGCGACATGAGGTTGACGTTCTTGAGGTTCCTGGCCGACTGGAGGGTCACCTCCAGCACCCTGTACGCCATGCTACCTGTCTAGCTTGGAGCTCACTCACTCACTCACTCACTCACTAGGTAATGAAGCTAGACAGATGTCCTGGTTGCAAGTGTTTGATTGGCAGGTGCTGGTGTGGCTTTGCTTGAAGCTAGCTGAGAGGTATGCAGCACCTTGAGTGGGTAGTGTATGTATAGGAGGAGGAGGTGTGGGCCCAGAATTCCAAAAACTACGTGAGAATTCAGATGGGAAACTTCCGGGCTGGTTGCATACAGAATTATGTATATTCAGATCAAATAGCACTTCTGAATTCCGGCATGGATGGTGAGCCATCTATCTAAAACCAATGAGAATAAGCTGTTTCTGTTTTTGAAACAACAGAAAAATAAACAAAAAAAAAGTTATTAGAAACTAAGCTGCTTCAAAGTTCAAAGAGGCGGTCATCTTTTGTTTGCATGCATGGGTTGCTGTGGATAAACCCCTGGATATACATACATCTATCCGTCTATGCATCTCCAAAGGAGTGTGCATGTCAGTTAAAGTGCTACCACCTCTTCCGAGTCGTCAACTGGACGAGCATCCAAAACGAAAACGACCGAGGGCTGCATGCACACATGTCACCATATGCGTACCATGTTGGGTAGCAGTGCCACTGAGCTGCTTGGATAAGGTGGAACAGAAATTGCACGTACGTGGACGTGGTGATCACCTTAGCATAGTGTGGATATGTGGATTGGATCCACCCTTCGAAATTTGCATAGCATCAGTTCCTGCCCAGGAAAGCAGTACGCGGTTAAACGAAATAGTTAGTATAAAATTGAGTCATCTATTTTGAAACGGAAGAAGTACTTCACTTGACCAACTTTGACCGATATGGATGGTGATTTCGTGACTTCTATGCCCTCGGCTCCTTGGCCAAATGGACTACGTACGGCCAGGAGCATGAAGCTCATCCCAATCCCAGTGACAGTGAGCAACACGGTCGCAGTGCATAATTGGCAGCCGTTGGTCTGCAGGTCAGCTGATGGGTTCAATAGGGTCAGACGCACTGTGTGTGCTAAGTACGGTAGTAAAGAAGCCTTTTCCGTCTCTGTGTTCAGAAGAGTTCTTTTGTTATCTATAAAATTTTGTTAGTGCTATATTTGTATTATTTTATTTTGTACAAGTGTTTTTATCTTAGTTTACTACTATTTGAATATGTGTTTCATATTTCACATAGCAGCTGCGAGTTGGTCATTGAACTGTGTACTAGCTCTTTTTGTGCAGTTGCACTTTTTACCTGTTCAATTGCACCTTTGTATTTGTGTAATTACACTTTTTTTGGCACAGCCTTAATTTTGTGCAATGACACTCTTTTGCATTTTAACCAAGCATGATTTTAGCCCGGAGCAAAAAACTGACTGAAATTACATGGATAATGGCCCATAGAACGGCAATCAAGCGAGGCCCAAGTGATGATTAGATTCCTTCCGGGACCCAAAATGTGTAAAATTTAGATGGGAGTATGGGATTCTGCATATATACTACGGTAATGTGTTTGGGAACTTGAATATTGCTTCAATGGCACTTCAGTGTTCTTAGCCAACCGGTGGAGAATATAAGCTACAAGAAGGGAATAATATTAGAACTATAACAGTTTTTTTGTGTGTGTCTCTCTAACTGTATTATTATTACAAACATCAAGTACACAATGCAATACAAAAACAACGCGAGGATCGCCACGGATGCATATTTACAATTCCCTGATGAGGAAGCCGCTTGTGGTTAATCAGTATTGTTAGTCCAAGTTTGGATGGTACTGGTAGGCCAAGATTTGTTGGCATCGGATGCTCAGCAACTTGGGCAAGGCATTGTTCTCGTAGTCCTAGAGACTAAATTCATAACAGCAATCATGGCCAGCATAAAGCTCCCTCTTCTCTATTCTGATGATCGATTCCGATATCTCGGTCCGGCTCCGCTTCCGGTTTATTCGTGCTTTTTCTGTTGCTGAAAGATGCGATGTTCGGATATGTATACCAATTCTTTCAGCCAAACTTTGCCGCTCAACCTTTGAATGTGCTGCAGGCATTTCAGGACCGCAGTAGTGCAAAGACAAGACCAATGTGCTGTTTGTTTATACTGTAATTCAGATCTTTCTTCTTTGGAAATATCTCGTGGGATCGATTCGTTCCTCATTGTTAATAACTTGCAAGATATTTTAGTCTTCTTAAGTGTACTTTGCATAATTAACTGTACAGATTTTATGGAGGGAATTTCTGGGTTTTCTTTACACCTTAGTTAAGTTCTGGATATATTCTGATGTGTTTCTCTTGCCTGTTGCACATAGATTGATAGAACCTGTGTTAGAGCATCTCTAACAGAGGCGCTAAAAGTAGCCCGCGCTGGAAAAAAACGCTAATTTAGCGCGCGGAGCATCTCCAACAGATGCTGCAAAAGCCAGCACGCTGTAAAATCCATTCGGCGCGCTGAGAATTTCTACATCGCATGCGCTATATTTGGTGTGCGGCGTACAGCACGCTGGACAATGACGCGCAAAGACAAGTGCTCTGCTCCCTTTGCTCATCCCGCCTCTGCCCTTCTGCTCGCCGGCTGCAACTCGCCGCCTCGAGTTCGCCGGCCCGGAGCGCGTGCCGGCCGGGAGCTGCCGTTTCCCTTCTACTCGCCGCCTCCCTGCAGCTCGCCGCAACCTCGAGCTCGCTGGCCGGGAGCGTGCGGTGGCCAGAGGCGAGCAGTGCATGCGGAGATTTGGATTCCAATCCATTGCAAGCTAGCTTGCTCCAACGATTTAAGGGAAGTTAGCTAGTTCGTGTTTGCGATTCCAACGAGATCACAACAAGCTAGCTCGCGTGCCGTGGCCGGCGGAAGATGATTTGCAAGCTAGCTTGCTCCAACGATTGGGGACCTAATTGCATTTTCATTTTGGTCAGATGGATTTATTTGTAAATATGTAGAGACCTGTTTGTTGTAGACATATTTGTGGTGTTTTATTTTTTAGTGTGTCTGCTGGACTGCTGCGCGCTATCCACTACCTGCTGTATTTTTATGCGTCTGTTGGATTGAATCGGCCACGGCACGCTAAAATTACTAAAATAGCGCTGTAAAATTATTTTAGCGCGCCGTTTTTTGGCGCCTGTTGGAGATGCTCTTATAGGTACAGGTTTACTAATTTACTGCAGCACCCGCGGTAAACCACGAATCGATTCTTCTGTCTCGGTGCTCTTTTCGTTTTTTGACTGGATAACTATCGGCGACTGGATAGTCTGGACGTCAGTTAAAAGTGTTCGATATCTTGGGTTCGGCTGTTGCCATCGCCCTTCCATGCGTGTGATCGAGACGCACGGAACATAAGATGCTCTATGTGCACAGCTGCAGGTGCTCTCGCAAATTATTTTCGCGGTAATTCTGTCCTCCCCTTTTCAGTGTTCTTTTCAGGATCTTGTACAGAGTGCTCTATTGATTTTTTTTTCTTCCGCATGAGTAGTAAATTGTCGTTGCATTTTGCCCTGTACTTTTGTTGCAACTGAAGCGCACGAGGAAGATTGCTCATCATGCTTGTCGTGTTGCGCCGATTGCTGAAATTTTGCAACGGTAGATCTTAGAGCGGACCTTGAGATTAATATGGGTCATACATCTGTGTAGATCCGATGGCGGGGAGTAACATTTTCTCTTCAATAGTATGGTGGCTATTAATCGGTGGGGTCAACTATATGGCAAGCACTCGGGAATTTATTTTTGGCATCGGTCAATTTTTCCACCTGCTAGATTTCCATTTCAATAAAGCCGTCAAATTTAGGTTTCGGTTTGCTCACAGACATCATTTCACCGACATTTTACTCAAACCCAACACCATTCAGACATGATACACACATGACCCAAATTGTTGATTCACAAGCTATCAAATAATGAATTTGACATATTGGGCCCACCGACACAAAGTAAAACTGGCATGGTAGGTGGCTCAAATCCGAACCTGCCCATCTCTCTTGCTTCTGCTCCGCACCTATCTCTCTACCTCTGATTTCACTGCGGTGCACGCACGGTAAAACCGCGAATCGATTCTTCTATCTCAGTGTTGTTTTCATTTTTAGTGGATAGCTATCAGCGACTAGATAGTCTGGCCGGTGGTTCGGTTATCGCCCTCGCTCTGCCTTGTGCGTGATCGAGACGCATGGAACTGAAGATGCTCGATGTATACAGCTACAGGTGCTCGTGCAAATTATTGCTGCAGTAAATTCTATCCTCCTCTCTTGCTTGTTCGTTTCCAGATTTTTCACTATTCTATTCGGAATTTTGTACATGGTGGTCTTTCGATTTTTCTTTCTTTCACACGGGTGGTAAACTGTTGTTGCATCTTGCTATGTAATTGCTGCAACCGTAGTGCACGTCGATTGCTCATCATGCTTGTGACGTACATGGTGTGTGTTGCCACGTGAATGTTCTTGTGTTGCGCCGATTGATGAAATTGGTTGCGCCAGTAAATTGAAGAGGAGCGTTAGATTAATATGAGCCATCCCTTTGTGAACACCCGATGGTGGAGAGTAATCTTTTCTTTTCAACAGAATGGTAGAGATTAATCTATGGGACCTACTATATGGTAGGGACCCGTCACCTGTTGGATTTCAATCCAACAATAGCCCCCCCTCCCCCTCCCCTTCTTTTCTTCTTCTTCTTCCACCACCTCCTCCTCCCTCTATATTGAAATCCAGCACCCTCACCTCATGTACCATCAGTCGACAGCCTGCTGCCACCACCTACGAGCGGCGGTGCTCCCCGGCACGCCTCGGCGCTGCTTGCGCCATGTTTCCCCACCCGGCATCCCTGTACCCCTTGCTCTTCTCCAGCGTTAGTAGACCACCCCACACCTTGATTCGTCAACCTCTGACTCCTTCCATCGGTCACACCACTGTCACATCGTCACCGGCTCCGGGTTGCTTCCAGCTTGACCTCAATGGCATCCCCGAGCCTTGTTGTCGCTTGCCGCGGCGAGCTCTGCCTCAGAGTTGCGCCTCATCTTCTCTCCCGAATCGACTAA